GGTATTAGAAAAGTCGTCTTCCCAACGTTGAACAACAGATGAAGATTTACTAATAACTGGTGCAGCAGTTTGATCAGTAACACTACTTGTTTGTGACATTCGTTGTTTTATGTTAACTAAATCAAAAATAAAAACTCTTGACAAATCATATAATATTTTCAAAAAATTGTTACTTCGTAAAAGTCAAAAAAATATGATCTTCGTTTTTTATAAAAATGTAGAATTTTATTTCAGAAAATAAAAAATTTGACTTTTTAAGATTAAGACTAAGGAAATATTTTTGTTATTCACAGAGATACAGAAATTCATCTGGTCATCATACATCACAAGTAACACTCGTTCGAGGACTCGGTTAGCTCTTTCTCGTAGAAATACATCCTCTTCACATCTACTGAAAAACCAATTGAAAATCGTGAAAAACAGGTTTTCGATGTTTTTTTGACCTCTGCCCCTCCCTCTCACCCATCAGACCTCGGATTCGAAGTCCATACAATGAAATACCTCAAGAAATGTCTTTTACAGAAAAGTGGCCTTCGATGTTTTTTTGACCGTGCGGACATACAACCAGGCAATTTATGTTTACAAGACTCTTCTCTACGAGAAAGAAAATAAAATTCTAATATAAATAATGAAGTTAGTAAATGATAATGTCATCTTATGATGGTCAATAATATCATTAAATGTAATTTTTGATGCTAAATGAAACAAAAAAAAATTTTAATTTCTTAAATAATGAAAACAGTAACAATAGATGATTTTATTAACGATAATAAAAGAAATAATAGCAATTATTTTTTTTCGTTCTGTCACTATAATATAGATTATTCCATACACAAAATGATTAAAGAACAAATGAAGAATTTTTCCATTTTTATGTTAAAATTTAGTTTGAAAAATATTTAATTTCAATCATCTTATTTAATAAAAATGATAACAACAAATCTATTATATCAATATTATTTTTATAGAAAAATAAAATATGATGTAGAAATGTATTTTTATTTAACTAACCTTTTAAGATTAATGTATATAATTTTATAATAAAAGTAGGTTAAGAAACCTTAGTAAAATCATGATTTTGTCTCTTTTCTTATCAAAATAACATGTCTTGCCGTTATTTAAAAGACTGGATACTTAACCAAGTGTAAAAGAGATAAGACACTCGTTGGTTACATATATATAGATATGAAACTTATCGTCCACGTATGTCGATTAGTTGTAATGGTTAAAGTGTAAACTACTTGATTTTTTTTATTCTATAATGTATTGACACAGATTGTTATCGTTCGTTTTGTTTTAGTTCTTTCTTTTCTTTTCTATGTATGGTGTTTGTATATATTTCACATATACGTTTCTTTCGTTCTCTTGTATTCACTAGGATTATTCCGGTCAATAATAATGATTGAAAAAATATTCAAATAAAGTTATAACTGTAGTATTTTAGTAGCATTAGATTTTGATAGCTATGTAATATACTTAATAGAAAATAAATCACTAATAATGAAAGAAATTATTTATTATATAATTAGATTAAAAGATGAAACTGACCATATAGTTTACGAATTCATTTGCTACGTCGAAAACAATGAATAGTCTGAATACGTTAAGTAATTTGTTTACTGCTTCTATCTTCGAGAGAACACATTAAATGTATCACAACTATGTGAATGAGAATATGAATTTGATTAATACTTCTGCTGATGAAATACATCTTTCTTTAAGTACGTTTTTATCAGTTCAATGTAATGTATCATTCAATTGACTGATAGAGAGTAGTATATCATTAATTTCTTTCTACTTTATTATGAATACTGTCTACATTTACTCTTTTCTGAATAAAATTATTCCACTATACATTGCTTCTTTTCATCATAATTATTTACATAAAACAAGACAAAGAAATATTACGAATATGCTGCGTACAGATATTACAGTATTAAGCGTCTGTTGAGAGTCTGGGCGTTGTTCTAGTATTTTAGTTGGTATTGTTTTTTTGTTAATTCACTGAGAATGGAATGACAATAATTATGTATTCAGCTGATCTATCCTTCTTGATCTCTGTATTCATTCTTCAATTGAAATTTAATTTATAATGTTGATAACCTTTTGAATATTGTAAACGAATCTGTACACATTTTTCTGATAAATATAATATAGTAGAAAATCTTCAATATTGGACATATTACTAATGTATAATATTTTCCATTGATATGTCATCTAAATGGTTCTCCACAACTTTCAATGATTGCTTTATTTCTTATCTATTCTTGTTGTGAAGAATAATGTATTGATCATATTACTATTATTAGTGATGTTAGACTGAATTCTATTTGTATTGATGAACAAAATATAATAAATTAACTCTCGTGAAATTCCTTTAAAATATACTAAATTGTTGATCAAGATTCAATTTATGTTTGCATAATGAGTAATTGATAAAAGAATAACTTTCTGCTTTGCTTTTTCTAACCTACAGCAAAGTGTTCATTTAATAGAATTATATAAATGAGTCATCGATAAAAGAAAAATTTTTTGTTTTGCTTTTTTTCAACCTACGCACTAAAACAAAATGAGTGTTTGTTACTATCGGAAACTCTTTCAGGGTTTCCAAGCGATTCTGAAACGTTTATTGTGCTTTCCGAGAATAACAAATACCCATTTTTTTGTAGACTGCAGTAAAGTATTCATTCGTCACATTTATATAAATGAGAAATCGTTAAATAATATTTATAGGTATGAAGTGCATTGATGAATTTTTTCTTCATTTCATTTATATTATAAGTCGAATTAGACAAGTACTTTCATACTTATACTTTAGAAAAAGATTAGAAGAAAAGGTTTTGAATACGATTTTATGAACAGACAAATGAATGAACATCAACAATTTTTTCCTATCATGTCGTTTTTTTTATCAGTAATATTATTTGTTTACTAGTTAATAAAGTTCGCTCAATGCAACTATACAAGAGCTAAGCTTCTCAAGAAAAGTAAAGCAATGTTGAGTAAGATCATTTTATATTGATCACTGAGCAAGTCAATATAATATCACTTGTTGAAAGTATGGTTATAAAAAGATAATGAATAAAAGATGTATCGAGAGACTGATGTTGCTTAGTACAGCAGTTCGTAGTGTACTACTGCAGCGGATGCTGGAAAGAGTTGATTTTTGTTCTAATTAAATATTAACAAAGAACAATATTACTTATACGGAATACTAAAACATCGCTGAAAAAATCCGCTACTAACCTGTTTACAGACACCAGGCACGCACTGATAACATCATCGCTATGATTAATATACTTCACGTTAGATTTTAGCTTTACCTATCACTAGAAGAAATATTTTTCTTCGCTGAATATCCCTGGATATTGACAATAAATAGCGAGCTTAAATTTTTATTGTTTATTAGTCGTAACATATATGTATTCTGATTATTAGTCAACTACCACTAACTAATGGTAAATAGTAATATCGACTATGTATTCGACACTAATTTATTTGTTTAATCAATAATAATTGTTATTTATCGTGATAACGCGCATCACACACTTTCTAAAAAATAGTTATGCAAATTTTTATTTTTATCTATTTTTCACGAATGATGCAGAATGGAAAATAGTTGTTAAAACGCCATTTTTACCGTTTAATGTTTGCTGAAAATCATAGTGAATTTCCTCTCGATTATAAAGACATACAATTCTTTTAGAAAAGGATCAGCGAATCCGTAGAATGAGCATTATTTGTGTATATTTATGATTGACAAATTATAATGGTAATATTTTCATGTTTGGAAGAAAAAAAATTTCTTTTGACTAAAAGCATTCTTAAAAGAAAAATAGATGCTTTCTAAAGAATCAATTAATATTTTTTTAACGATTTTTCTTTTGCGCAATATTTTTCCTGGAATATATGTGATGTTATTCTTTTCATTGAAGTTCTCTCCACTCGTAGACAGTGAGTTGTTCTAAAAATTTTCAAATTATTATTTTGTACTGAAACTCCTACTGGAAAATGAGATCTATTCGTTCAAATAAATTTTGTAAATCCTCATTGTCTTTATGTTAAAGTAAGATTTGATTCGTTTTAATTTAATGTATAATCAAGATGAATTGTATAGTTTTTCTTTTTATAATTTATCTTGAGGGTGAAGCGATAGAGATAGAATAATGTCGATATAACACCTACAGCCACTCTTAGATCATTAAGTTTACATCGTTTTTGTTTAAAATAAATGCATATTATTCATTTGTTTTGAGTATCATAAACATTTTATGTGGGCATGGTTATTTTTTGTTTCCACTTTGTTGCCAGAAAATACTTTTAACCTAATGAACATATATTGCATATATTGAAGTTGTTGATAATACATTTAATGTATTTTATTTTAACAAGTAACAACTTACAAATATCGATTTTAAAAATTCTTTGCATGATATTTCACTAGACATAGAGAAGAGCACTATTCTAAACTTCTTTTGCATCTTCTATTATTTATAAAAGACACCATTTTCTCTTTTCTTTCAATTCATTTTCTAATAAACAGTTTCTTCGATGGAAGATAAATGATATATAGTAGTAGACAGTCTTTTTTCCTCCCATAAAATCTAATTAGTGAGTAGTATTATCTTTATATTATACTATTTTATTTCTTTTTAAATACATTTGCGTTACAGATAAGCTTCTTCTATTTTTCTTGAATAGAAAGAAATTTAAAACTCGAGTAAGTACCTTTAGTTTTAGTGTTAATGATGAATTAATATTTAATATAAATAAAAGAAGGTTCATAACGATTACGTAAGTTTGCTTGTTCGATTTAACATTAGAATTATTATCCATTTATGCAACTCCATTCTATGGAGAAAACATGGATGACTAAACGATTAGATATGGATTAGACAAGATGGAAAACAACGTAAAGTGCATGCATTATCTTTTGATCACTTTTTTATGTTTAATGAATTATAAAATAATTTATTACGATATATAGATATTCCTAATCTATAATTTTTTCTAGAATATTTTTCAACCAAACATGGATGACATAGAAGAGATATATCTTCCACCGCGTAATCAACATCAAACTGTACCAATACCTGATGATCATTTGGTTCCTGTAAAACGTAATCGACGGTAAGTGTTAAATTTCTCTAACTAACAAATGATTTCAAAGAGAATTTCACTAACTATTTCTTTTTAAAAGGAAAAAGTACTTTACAATTTGTATTGGTGTCTGTGCATCGTTCGGTATAGTTTTGTTCCTCCTGGCATTTCTTCTACCCATACTTATTAGCTATGGCAAATCAACAGCTTCTACAACGTCGACAACAACAACCTCTACAACGTCAACAACAGCAACCTCTACGACATCGACGTCTACAACTTCGACTTCAACAACAACAACGTCAACAACAACCTCGACTACGTCGACGTCTACAACATCCACAACCACAACCACCTCAACATCAACAACAACATCAACTACAACAACAACGTCAACCACAACAACAACAACAAGAACAACAACATCAACTACCACGACT